AAGGTAATTTGTAAAGTTTTATGTCTTTTTGTTGTATTCATATGGTGTATTATTTGCAAAATAAATAACAAAAAGAAAGAAGCCGCTAGCAGCATCAACAGAGCTGTGAAGAGAGTGCTCTTTTGCTCAGTCTCTCACACACAACCTTTATGTCTACTGTGTCTTTAATATGGTGTGTAGATTATTATGGGTTATTGAAACATCAAGGGGGACGCAGCAAAATCACTTATAAATTAAAATTGTATTATTCTATGCAACAGCCTTGCATTTAAAACGGAAACATAAGGGCGATTATAAGCAAAAAGACCTCAGTCTATAAGTCTAGATGTTTTCTTTTCTTTTCCTTTTTTATTTATTTGTTTATGTGTTTGGCGCATGTGTGCGATAGGAAAACTAGTGTAATTACGGCAAGCCATCTTTCCCAGACTCGGGGCAAATTCCGCCTTTCCTTTCACTCCGTCCCGAAGCCCCAGCTGGCCCTCCTGCCATCCACTGCGTAAAACATATGCTGGATAAGTTGACGGTTCATTCCGCTGTGGCGATCACAGACTAATAAAGGGACTAAACCGAAAAGAAAATGAATGAAGAATGAATGAATAAATTAATAATAATAAAATAAAAATAAGGTAATAATAAACACAAATGCCGCGTAAGCGGCCTTTTTTTTTTAGAGATGGTACATTTGAATTGCCTCTTCCCACTTCCCCCACCTCGAAATTGAAAGTTGCAAAGAGAACTATAGCTCATTTACACCTTGATGTCTTAGCCTCAATAGCAAAGATCATAGCCCATTTACACATCAACACAGTGCAAGTTTAGCGGAAGAATGTCAAATCAGAATCACGCAGATGAAGCACACCAGCTACTACTATGAAACTATTAAAATTGTTTTGTCATAAATTTGCTTATTTGCAGCAGCTTTTTTTCGCGCAACAGAAATGCGGCGTTGGGAAGCCGTCAATAAATAAAAACAGGGTCAATAGTGAAATCGGCTTTTTATTGTATCCCTATTACCTATTTCAGTGCATTGAAGGCCTTTTATGGTGTCATCTCGATAGAATAGCCTAAGTTATAAATAATTTAAAGAACAAAGTTATAACAACTCACATTACATAAATAAACAATTAAAAATATGTTTGTTGTCTATTTAATTGCCCTCGTGATGATGGTGTGCTTTATCATTATGTGCGTTTTACTTATAACTAACCTGATTCAAATGATGGATCTGCGACAGAGAAACTAGGGGGTTTGGGGGAACATGCATCACTATATCCTTTTTTTCCCCAAACTGTGCATAGTTCAGCTGCAAGTTACTGTATGTCTTTTTTTAGAAAAGCACCCCATGTCCGCTAGTGCCGCAAGCCTCTTTCTCTGGGCAAAAATGAGTTGATTTTTAAAATAATAAATATATAGTTTAATTAAATTTTCAGCAAAAGAGACATTTATTTCATATTTCACTATGCATTTCATCTGATCTTTATAGCTTAATTAAACACATATTGTCAAAACCCACACATAGGCCTATTGTATGAAAATGAAAAGGGCATTTTTTGTTATTATTACACTACTATTTGTTATTTGTTGCCTAGGCTATTTTCACATTTGAGGTGCTTTATTGGCATGACAAGTAACTGTACATTCGTTTTGCCAAAGCAGTGCGCATTTCACAAACAAGACAGTGCAAAAAGGGCAGTAGTGCAAACAAATATGAAAATAACATATAATAAAAAAATGATTAATAAAAATAAAAATATAATAATAAAAATAAAAATAGATTTTTGATAACATTAAACAGGATAAAGGTAATAATAGTAGCCTATTATCAAAAGTAAGTCCACATAAAGAGTTCCAGTATTTGTGTGTTGGAGACAGGAGCGGGTATTGTTGGGTGAACACACAGCAGCACACACACTCCCCCAGTAAGATGAGTTCTGTTCGACAGGGACTCAAAGTTGTTTTGTATGTGTTGGATTATCGGGTAGAATTTCTCCCGGATCTCGGAGTTTTTAGTGCACTCAGGATATGCAGCTCCGTCTCAATCAGCTGCTGAGGGCACAGCCGCTTCTCCACCGGCAGCCATTTTTTTTTGTGCCGGCCCGTCTTTACGGCTAGCTGATGTCCGCTGCCCGCTTCTAACATGTTAGAAAATACTGCAAATCAAGCTGTCGGTATCTCCCCGCGGTTGAAATTGTTCGTTATTCGGGAAAAAAGAAGAATAAATATCAGCGCGCAGTATTTGCTTTCTAGATTATTTAGGCCTATATTCAGCTGTTTTAATCTTGCAATTCTGATAATTAGAGATAATGTCTGTTTTTATCAACTTGTCTGTCATTTATTTCTCATTTGCTACTTATTTTATTAATTTGTTGATGTTAATACACTACATAGTCTTGTATATGCATATCTAAAATCCTTTGGCATTCAAATTTGCTTTGAACTTGAAAGAGAGAAAGAATCGGATTTTACCTGTCAGAGCACATTGCATATGCTTTTTTTGAAATAACATTTATTTAACAAATATTTTAGCACATCAAAAGTAATTAAATTACCTGTCTTTTGATTAAAACCTTTATGCAAAAAGATCAGAAAAAAGGCAATATGCGACACATGACATGCATCGCTCTCATGCCACGTTTTGAGGATAAATTCGCTTTTAGGTGCTGCTTGGAATAAAATAAAACTATTAAAAAGCATATTAAAGACTACTCTTAAAATAAACATTCATAAAGGAGTATCTTATGAAAAAACACCAATTGACGGGCTCTGCTTTCGGTTTTAAAAGAATCAAGCAGCTTTAAAAATATAATTTGCTGAAGAGAAATGACAGGGAAAAAAAGATTGAACATATCGGGACTGTCAAAAGAACATTCCTCTTTGATATATTCTTTCGACTCCGACACATCAGCAAAGATTATGAACAACGGAGTGTCTCTCCTGCTTCAGTGGCGTGTCCAGCTGGTTATAAACGAGGAGGCGGAGAGAATGCGCTGCTTAGTTTCGGCTCGATATATTTAAATAAAAACTAACAACGAGCTGCTTATAACGCTCAAAAAGTTAAACTCAAATGCACAACCCTTGTTGGTTGCACCTGCGGGATGCACAATGAACCTAACGCGCCATAATTTTAATTCTATATTCGTGAAGAATGAGCCAACCGCATATGCTTAGTCCTGTTGGTCGGGACTCTGCTTTATAACTTATTAGTTTATTACAATAATCACACTTAGCTTTGCCATTGTTCTTCACCACATAGCCACTCAACACATCTTGCGGTCCATCTTTAATGTTTAGATTATTGAAGGTGCTATTGACGTTTTGAGAAAAAAATTAATAGTACTGAAACTAAATTATTAAAAATAAACTTGCGGGACTTCATTTATGTCCTGCGGCAACATTATTTTTATTACATTTTAAGTGATCTGCTTGAGGTAGGTCACGTTTATCACTGGTAAGTTTTAGCCTAAGTTTACATCAATAACATAAAGTGCATTGTCCTTTACCATACAAAAAAAAAAAAAACATTATTATACACCAGTTGCCTGTAGCCTATAAAAAGGCCGCAAATATTTTTAAATGCATTAAAAGGCAAGCACATATCTTAGCCTTAGTTTGTTCACACTCTGCCTGTATTAACATAAATGCTGTATTTTAATATAGCCAATTTTGATTAATTAGCTTTAACTGACAGCCTTTTCTTCTTTTTCCGCGGTTATGCGGCATTATATTTCACACGCATATGCAAGGTGACTGAATATGAAATTAAAATACAAAACATACTGAGCCATTAAGTAAAAAAACAAAACAAAACAACAGTTATACTTTAAAGCAGAACATTGACGTTTTGAAACAAAAAAACGGAACTGAAACTAAATTATTAAAAATAAACCTGCCAGACTTATTTATGTCCTACTTTCATTATTCATTTATTTTTATTATTCGTTTATTATTATGTACTATAATTGAAACATAAAATGAGATCGTAAATATAATCAACAACGAAAATGTAAATAAAAACGTAAATTAAAAATATAAATGAACATGTCTAGTCTTAGTTCTATCAAAATAGCAAACACTATATCTCTCTATATTTAGACTAAAAGACTGCTTTATTTATTTAAGACTAATTATTTGTACTGAATGTTTGTGCTTTCATTTTAGTTGTCTTTCATTTCTTCAATTCTATTTTCCAAAACGAATCCTCTTTGCACTTAATAAGTTTACAATAAACCAGGTAAAAAAAAAAATTAAATGTAAGTTGAGGTGATCGCAAGTTCACAACTGTGAGGTGATGTGCTCTACCGGCTGGATAATCTATATTATTTTGCTGTTTTTCATATGCGCACGTTTAAGATTTGAGATTATAACATTGCCATGATAGTCAAAGAAATCAAAACATTATTTTCACCCCAACGCAATTTAATCGGGCACTGAAGGCTAATAACTTAATTCTTATATTTGCTTTTTGACTTCTCACCATGTATCTTTTCTACAGCATAGTATAGTGTAAGAGCATGTCTATTACCAGAAAAACTAATTAAAATTATATTTTAATTGAACACATCACATCACATACAGTAAGCTACGCCTACAGAACAGTCTGTTTAGCATTGTGAAAAGGCAAAGCTGAATATCTGTGGTTAAAGTGCCACCCAGCGGTCAAATGCTGCTGGCGCATCAAGTACTGCCGTCGCCGCGGCATGAATGGCGGCACAAGGAACACATTGAAGTAGTAACATCTGTACCTGGGGCCTGTTTCAGTAAGGAGGTTCAAACAACTCAGAGTTTAAACGTGAACTCTGAGTTGATTTACCGAGAGATTAAAAATCAAGAGTTTTCGGTTTCAGAACAGCTGATCTGAGTTGGGTCAATCAACTTCGAGTAGACCAACTTAGAGTTAAGCGCGCACACCGTGACTTTAAAAAGGCATTATCAATGGAGTGCAGACATTACGAGTGACTACACTCAAAAAAATGAACTTTCCCTATTGTTAATTTTACTCTACCCATCCTTGTTCACATTACATAAAAAATAAAAGTAATTGAATTAACACAAGTTAACTATGTTATTTCTACAAAAATGTAGTACTGTAGGCTTTACTTAATAAGGGTTTGACTGGCCAACTTAACATTGTGGAGTAAATCGCAAAACCCTCCTAAGTTTGGACATTTGCGGATACCGTACCTGCTTACCTGGAGGCGGAGCAACGGAACTGAACGGAAGACAGACGAGAGCGCGAAGCACATTGAGGAGAAGATGGTGGCTTTGCCAGGTACAAGTATTTTCATAACGCTTTACTGGTAAATATCGCCAGGAAAAGTTATGTTAATGTTCACAGAATTATGTTAATTTATTTTATCAAGTTATTTCGGAGTCCTTTGAGTTTTAGCGTTTTTTTAACCTGTTGAACTCACTCGTGTTTCTCAACGCAATTATGTGGCAGTGCAAGGACTGCAAAATAACAGTCACGACTAGATCACAGTTGTTGAAACACTATAGATTAGTGCATAGACATTATGGTCGCGGTATTCGTTTTCCATGCACATATTCTGAGTGTCCCTGTAGATTTAAAACATGGAATGCGCTACACAGCCATCTAAATCGTAGCCATGCAAAGGAGAACACGGGGTTACCTGCAAGTGTAACGCTAACCACGTTCAATTGCCACGTGTGTCCTTGCAGCAATATAGGGTCAGAACGTGAGTATTTTAGTCACATCCATAACCACCTTAAAAACAGCGAGACAGTGCATTGTATGTTTAAGCACTGCTCTTTTCAGACAAATGTGTATGGCACATTTAAGTCCCATAAGAATAGAAAGCACAATTTTTATTCTCTTCAGGACTTCAAACCAGGGGTTATTATAGAAAGTGGTAATGTTACTCAGGAATTAAATGAAGATCTATTGCCAGCTGAAGAGGAGGATGTTGATGTTTCAGGTAGTGTGGAAGTGGAAACAGAAGTACAAGATTTGTCCAAGACAATAGAGCTCAAATTTGCATCCATTTTGCTAAAACTTGAAAATTATTTTCATGTTCCTAGTAATGCAATTGATGAACTCATCACAGATTTGCACTATTTGATCAGTTCTGCATCAGGATCCGTATCAACAAAAGTTGTTCTTGATACTTTTCAGAAACATAATCTTCATGTAGATCAGCTTATCATAAAAGAGCTTATCAGTTCTTTGTCATCATCCAACCCTCTGTTAAAAGCTACTTCAAATGATGGTCCTTTGGCCACTGCTTTCAAGCGCATGAAATTTTACAGGGAAAATTTTGAGATAATTGAACCTGTTGAAATAATTCTTCAGTCTGAAAAAAATAGAACTTTCCAATACATACCCATCTTAAAATCATTACAACAGCTGCTTAATCAGAAAGAGATACTTAATAAAGTTGTTGGTGGTCATACAGGACAGAAAATCATAAATGATGGATTTTACAGATCTTTTAAAGATGGTCAACACTTTAAAGATAATGAGTTTCTCTCAGGAACTGAACTCAGACTCTCCTTGTGTCTGTACATTGATGACTTTGAGCTGTGCAATCCATTAGGAACGTCACGCAAAAAGCATAAGATCTGTGCAGTTTATTGGATTTTAGGTAACTTGCCACCAGGGAGTAGTTCATCGTTGTCCTCAATTTATCTCGCTCTGTTATGTAAAAGTGATGATGTAAAGGCCTATGGCTATAGAAAAATTTTTGAGCCTCTTGTGAACGATCTCATCACTTTAGAGCAGCAGGGTGTGTTTGTTAATGACTTGAAAACATTTATCAGAGGAACAGTGCAGTATGTTGTTGCAGACAGTCTTGGTGCACATTCTTTAGCTGGATTTGTTGAAAACTTTTCAGGGGAATATTTTTGTAGGTTTTGCACTGCTACACGCACAGATATTCAGTCTAAAGAGGTCAGAGATGGCGCTTTTCCTCTCAGATCTGAAGAGCAGCATGATGTACATGTAGCAGATGCATGTAAGAAAGGAGAAGCATGTTGTGGTGTAAAAACTGCATGTGCTTTATCTGAGAACCTCTCCTACTTTAAAGTTACTGCAGGTTTTCCCCCAGATGTGGCCCATGATCTCCTAGAAGGTATAGTGCCTGTTGAGTTGGCTGGATGCATTGACATATTTATAAAAAAGAAATATTTCACCTTTGATCAACTTAACAAACTGATTCAGGAATTCCCATTCAAGTGGGGGAGATAAAACCAATCGTCCTCATGTGCTTCCACTCACTTTTTCAAGGAAAAAAACTATTGGGGGAAATGCTCATGAGAATTGGTGTTTGCTGCGGCTAATTCCATTAATTGTTGGAAAACTTATACCTCAGGATGAACCTGCTTGGGAACTCATTCTTCTCCTGAAAGACATTGTTGAACTTGTTGTGTGTCCTGTGCACACTAGCGAGTCTGTTGCATACTTGGAGAGCAAAATATCCGAACACCGCAATCGGTTCAAAGTACTTTTTCCAGAAAGAAAGCTTTTGCCAAAACATCACTTTCTGGAACATTATCCAGCGATGATCCATCTATTTGGTCCACCTGTTTCATTCTGGACAATGAGGTTTGAAGCCAAGCACAGTTTTTTTAAACAAGTGGCTAGGCACACTAACTGTTTCAAAAATATCACCAAGACTTTGGCCAGGAAACATCAGCTCATGGTTGGTCAATTTATGCAGTCATCCCAGTGCGATGAATTACCTGTAGAGGTTACACGCATTTCAACTGTCCCTGTTGATATTCTCCAGGAAGACATTGCTTACACTTTTAACCAAAGATACCCGAACACTTCTGCTATTAATTTAGCTCAGACAGTATTTTCTGATGGCATAAAGTACACAAAGGGCATGATTATTGTGCATGGAACAATTAGTGGGCTGCCTGATTTTGCAGAAATAGTGCAGATTTGTGTTTTGAAAGATGGAATTGCTTTTATAGCAAAACAGTTAGGTTCTTGGTACAATGAGCACTATCGATCCTTTGAATTGGATATTCATCCAAGGAATGTTTCATTTATAGAGCTGAATGAATTAGCAGACCGTTATCCTCTCTGTGATTATAAAGTTGGTGCTATCCGTATGGTTACCTTGAAAAGATACATACACGCTGCTTGACCAGTTTTCTTTTTCTCTTACAGAGTGATTGATCAAACAGAGAAAATGACTGATCCAGCAAAGTTGAAAATTGTTCTAGGAGACAGTGATTCATTTAAATTGACGCTGCCATCTGGAATACCCAATTCTATTGCAGATTTTAAATCTGAGATCAGGAAACAATGTGGTGTCACAGGAGATTTTAGACTGCAGTATCTTGATATGGACTTTGATGATTTCTTAAATCTTACCTCAACAGTGGATCTCCAGGACAAAGGAACAGTTAAAGTCATAGCACAAAGTGCATATGATGCCTGTTCTCTTTCTTCTGCTGACACTGATATACGCTCCTCAACTTCCTCATCACCATCTTGCCTGCCAGTTTCTCCAGCAACATCAGATGTTGCTTCTGCCTCAACTTCTGAGCTGTCTTCGTCCACAAAGCTGAGATGTGAAACCTGGCCAACTAACTTTCCGATCCCTACGTTTCCTTATGAGATAGAGCTGGAACTGCAGAAAGCCCACGAAGAGTTCTTGAATGACGGTACTTTACTTGACATAGACTCAAAACCCAAACTAAAATCAGAAATTATGAAATCCTTGGCTGCAGAAGTAGTGAAATACAAAGTGTACCCTAGGACTGAAGAATACGAAGAGGTTGCGAAGGCGCTGATTACAAAGCATCCATGTCTACAGGAAAAAGGATCAGTTGGTGGGTTCTATGGCTGGAAGATCAGTCTACAGTGGAAGATGGCAAACTATCGGCGTACACTGCGAGCAGCTGGCTGTTCTGAAGTAAAGATAAATTCTTTAAAACACAAACATGGTGAAACTACAAATCCAAACCAAGTCAAAAAGCCAAAGAAGGCTGAAGTAAATTTTTACCCTGATTATCCAGCTGGAGAGAACACACAAAGCCTAGAAGAAGAGCGACTGGCATTGCTGTCTGAGTTTCAGAAAAGGGACAACCATCAAATTATTAAAAACAAAATGGAAAAAACTTTTATCTACAGAAGACATGAATTGATTGTAGAGATGCCCTTCATTGTTGACTTCAAAAGCAGATGGCCAGCTCTGTTTTGTGAAAATGAGGTAAATATAATGTAATAACTTTGTTTCTTTAAAAGTTTTTAAATGCTTTAAGTGCTTTTTTCATGTCCACGCACAGTTAGCCTAAATGCTTTTGTGTTCAAATGTCAATGAATATATTTTTAAACATGAAAGATATCCTTACTATAATCTTGTGTCCTAAATCTACAGATTGCTGCGGAATTCAGTCGAATCACTACTGTCCCGCTACTTCAGACATTTATGTCAAAACTGGATGGTTACACCAGCAAGCTGGCCAGCATCTACCGTAAAAAAGGAGGAATTGCAGGGCGTAAAATTTGGAAACTGATGGCTACTATCGACGAGGTTTGTTATATGTATTTAAGATGCTTGTAAATAATTTTCACTTTAGTATGGTGTTTTTTCATTGTTTATCCATAATGTCTCTCTTCTACAGAATGACACCATCTCAACTCGGAGGGCTTGTATTCTCAGAGCACTTTCTGTCTACCTTAATGAAGACTATGAAAACCTCATGAAGGAGTATACAGTAAGTGTTCTCAGGCAGTAAATATTTAAAGTACCGCCACATAAATTCATGTAATATAGTCAAGGAATATCAATACACAAAGTATATTTAACTTAGGGTTGCCAAAAGTATTAACTTTGGTACCAGTCAGTACTGAAATTAAAAGATTGTAATGATGATAGCATTTCCTGGGGGAATTTTGAGCACAGTTGAGCAGATTCTCAAGCAGTTGATTGACCACAGTGTTCACATGCTCAACACATGATTCTGATTGGCTATAATATTGTTTCACATTAGCTGTTTCCATCCAAAAATGCGAATGAGCTTTATGCGCAAAACTGGATTATCGCATGAAAAATGTGCAAATAAAGCAACATTTCCATCCAACAAGTCAAAGTGAACAAAATCGTCACTTCCTAATTAACTTGCGCCAAAAATCAACAGGAAAAACAGAATTTGCTGCAGTAGGAGAAGCTGCGTCAACCTGTTCTTAACCTGATAAATGACTTGCGCCTCAGAAGGCAATCCTGACACGCAGTGAACATGCGGTGGCGTTTAAAGGCATCAGACGCAGAGCACAGACGGTCTTGATTCTGGAGGTCATTAATAATATAATAACTCTAATACTTAAATGGTGACAAGTTTTAGAATGACCAAAACAACATTTCAGATGTTTTATAATGTGCTCAGCCTGATGGTTTATCCATTTAAACACTTTTTTTTATCATCACATGATCTCTTTTAACAAAATCACATGACCTTTTTTAATGCGCATGCTGGAGTTTGTGCGGTAAAAGTATTTCCATCGTTGTTTATGCACATCTTTTCTTATTGAATAAAAGTTTACCCTACTCAGCTATGCGCATATGTTTTTTATGCAAATTTTTAAAATTTATCCGCATCTTGGCGTTTCCATCAACCGTTTTTATATACGATGCCAAATGCGCATAAAAATAGGTGGATGGACACAGCTATTGTTGACCGAGTGCTCACACAGATTATGGTCACACATGGTAGCTTTTGAAGATGTGTCTCTCAGCAGATTCGTCTGAGCAGATATATTAAGGAATATATGTTGTCAATCACTGTCGCATCTGTTGAGCACAAGAACACTGGCCAATGTAATTTCTATGGAAGAATGCTGGTTTCTTTACATTTTTTAAATTCAGTACAGAAGCCTAACAAACACAGTAAAGTAGTTTTGTAAGTCACTGCACTTTTGTTAAGTGAAAGATTAAGGATTAGATAGTTGATACAAAATTCTCTAAATTTACAACTTGTATTTTTGATGGAATTATACTGAACAGTCTTTCTGTTTTTGTGTTTTATAGGACACAGACTTTGAAAACTCAGAGAGAGACATGGCCAATACTGTCATTGGAATCTACATCGTCAGACCTGAAGGTGCAGAAGCCTGTGACCCACCATCAGATGTTGGACTGATTGTTGAGGGAGTGAAAGTACTTCAGAACCTTGGCGATGTCACCAAGGCTTGTGCTCTTCTTTTGGGAGTCATATACAGCTTGAATCTCAGTTATCCTTCAGAATTGAAATACACTTTTGAGTTTTTCCAGAAAGTCTTGCTGGGACTTGATGCACATAAACTGTCACACAAAATACAAGTTCTCAAGAACAAACTTGTTGGCTGAATCAGTACATCAGTCTGGACAAATGAAAGAAATGGAGGAAGAAGATTTTTTTTGTGTTATTTGATTTGTTTCTGCTTTTAAAATAAGGGGACAGTTTTAATGTTATCTTTGTTGATGGCGCCAAAATTTTAAATGAAGTTCTGCAACTTTAAATGGTTTAATTGTTTGGTTATTTACAAAGATTAGAGGTCAGTTTTAATCTTCTCTACCAATGGTTTAAACGATTTCAGTTATCAAAAATTGAGCACTGTAGCAGTTTATGACATGCTGCCTGTCTTAAACTTTTATTTTCTTTTTCTAAGTAAAATTTATTACACTTTGAAGGCAGTTGCACATTTTAAAATAACATTTTGGTCAATGGTAATCTAGTTAGTAAAGTAGTAGTCATTGTTTTTTTTTTGTTTTGTTTTTTGTCATTTTGAAACAAACTTATTTTTGTGGTGGTTTTCATAAATAGAGGCCAGTTGTACTCTTTATCAATAGCTTAAACATTTTAAAATATAAGCAATTGAGCACTGTAGCATTTCGTGATAGGCTACCTGTTTAAATTATTATTACAAATTTTCTTTTGTAAATTTGATCCTATACATTTTTCTTACAATATTTGAAGGAAGTAGCACATTATAAGAATGATCACCATTGACCAAAATGTTGTTTTTACATGTTTTTTCTTTAAACTGTTATTTGAACTGTTTGTGGATGTTTACAAAAATTAAAACAGTTTTAATGTTACTATTGATTGTAAAGATCAAAAATGGAGTTTAGCAGTATTTTAACGTTCCTTTGATTTAATTTTTCTAAGTAAGATTATTTCAAATTCATGAAGCTAGTTGCACTTTAAAAGACCTTGTAAAGAATGTTTACTGTTAAGAATGTAAAATATTTGATGTTTTTGTGTATTTGTTTCAAAGGACCTGTGAAATTGAAATTGTTTATGGGTTTTAGCAGTTGTATGTTGCAAAATCTTGAAATAATAAATAAATTCATTTTGTTTCTAAAAAATATGTTTGATTATTTACGTTTTACATGTGTAGAGCATTTTAAAAATGAATTAAAAAAAGTGTTCACCTTACATAGTGAAAGTTGATGATTCTAACATAACAATATTAAGTAAAATATACATATAACTAAAATGTAGTAATGACACAACTAAATGTGTTGTATGTACTAAGAAATATTTTGTAAACTTTACCTGGATTTATTTTGTTCATTTTACTATATTGTTACTTGTAGAAACTACTTAACATGGTTACGTGGAACCACTTGACACTCTTTTTTTATGTAAGTTCAACAAATAATTTTTTTGAGTGTATGGCAATATCTTATAAAAGAGATCACCATTTCTTTCTTCAGCTGAACTTGATGTTCTCATGCAAAGTTATAGCAAATATGAGCGTATATATTTGAAAAGAAGCAGCCATCAGTGAAGAAGAGACAGATAGCGTGGGAAAACAGCTGCTCAAGTTAATGCCTAATTTCACTTTTTAAGTATTTAAATATTTAAGTATAATAAAATAAGTAATGTAATTTGTGACGTTTATATTTTTTTTCTAAACTTTTTTATACTTTTATTAGTTTTAAATGATTTAACAGTGCACTTGTGTGTCTGCCTTTTTTATTGATCAAGTGATAGAGGTTAATATAACATTTAGAAGGTAAGCAGTACTAAAAATAATTTTTAGAAAGAATAATAATCCCATTAATCTAGTTAAAGTGCATGTCGAAGGTGAATTTAATTAAATTATTTATTAAAAAAAGATAAGCCATTCTCGTACAGTTTTTCTGTGTGTGACTAAAATGTAGGCAATAGCTATGTTTCCATCCAAATATATTACATAAATTTATGTGCAAAACTGGAATATTGCATAAAAGATGCAAATAAAATTCCATCCAACGAGTGAAAGAGAAAAAATCTTCACTTCCTGATTAAACTGGCACCAAATATCAACAGTAAAAACAGAATTTACTGTGGTAGAAGAAGCTGCGTCAATTAATTCTTCATTTAGCCTAATTAATGTACTTGCGCCTCGATGTCAGAAGACAATGCTGAAACACAATGAACACGTGGGGGCATCTGACGCCATGAGACGCGGAGACTCTTGACACGCACCAGATGTTCGGAGGTAATTAATAATATACACTAATACTGAAACAGTTAAGGCATTTTAGACTGACTAAAACAATATTTAATACATGTTACAGTGTGCTCAGCCTGCTGGTTTGTCCATTTACACACATTTTCATTATCATATGATCATGATCTTTTTTTTTAATGTACATACTGTAATTTGTTCAGTAAAAGTGTTTCCATCGTAGTTTATGCGCACATATGCCCCCCCCCCCTTCAAAAAATTCATCCTGCACATGCCCTTTGGACGGTCTCTGCACGGGCCTGCCTGGTCTCCAGGTTGGATGACTTAGCAAAGCATTCACTTGATTTATTTAGTGTCACACAAATTGTATTCAGTTTTCCCTTCAAAATTCCATGAACCCATTATATTATTCCTTGGGATTAGCAGTGGTAAGCACATCTTAAAACTTTTTTTTTTTTTAATCTGCAATAGTTGGATTACTGTTTTAACTTTTTGTTGAATAAATGCTGATCCACTATCTGAACTTATCTCAGATGGGATTCCAAATAGGAATAACTTCTCTTGCTAGGAATTTAATTATAGTCTCAGCAATCTGCTCTGCTAAATGCACAGCCTCTACGCATCTACTAAATCTGTCTATGATCACAACATGTAGCTTTTGCTTCTTACTAATTTAATCATATCAACAAAATCCAACACTAAATGCTTAAATGGTCCTTCTCGCACTAGTATGTGTCCTCATGGAGTTGCTGTACCTTTTCTGACATTGTCTTGTGGACACATTTCACATTCTGATAGATAAGGTGACCAAAAACACTGTGGCTTTATCTTTTTAAGGACCTTATTCTTTCACAATGACCAAAACCATGTGCATCTGATGTTAAAATAGTCAAAAGAGGATTCATTAAACTTTCATGTCATCTCCATATTCTTTCTTTTTTAATCTTTGATAGCACTTCTATGTTGCCACGTGTCACTATTATCATATCTCCTATCTCAAGTTTAGGTTAAATTAAAACTGATTATAGCTACTTTACTTTCAGATATTTGCTTGGCATATAAACCTACAGAGTTATTTCCTTTTATGATACAACAAGCTGTTTTTGGGTACATTATAGCTAAAATTAAATCACTGATTTGGCCATAATGTTGGATTGGAGTGTCATCAGTTTTCTTAAATTCTTAAATTTTTTAAATTTCCAGATTGCATCAAAAAGGTAACGGACACCATGTGCATATGCTGAATCAGTATAGATGTTTACCATTTTCCTTTGCCTAAAAGGTAGGCTTTAGTTATTGCCTTAAACTCAGATAATTGTGCAGAGCATGGTTGTTCACAATGCTGTACCACAATTGGAATGAATTCTTTACCTTCTTTTTGAACTACAGCATAACTCACATGTTTTCTTAAACCATCTCTGAAGCAATAACAGTTCACAAATTGATCAAGTTCTGCATTAGATATTTGGTCAGGCTCTAGGTCTTAATCTGTTGAATGCTAACGATTCGGTCATGCATTCTGTGAAGTTCTTTCTCCTTCGAGAGGATATTTCCCTTTTTAATGTCATATCTGGAAAAACCAGTAGTGTCAGATATACTTCTGGCCTGAGTCAGAACAAATCTTCCTTGCTGTATCAATTCAGCTACCTTGTGAAGTGTATAAATAATTAGTCAGTGTGTCCATTGTAATAGCTGATGTTTTCTCATATGCATAGTAAACGGCAGCCAGGCCCTGCTGATAACATGGTGGAGGGCCTTGAGCGACCATATCCAGCTTGGTGCTGTAAAATGTTTTCGCTTACTTTTTCTGGCCATCACACGTATTTTGCATCAGAATTGCAGATGCGATCTTTTGTACCTGCAACATACAGATAAAAAAGGTTTATCATATTCTCGCATGGCAAAAGCAGGGGCTGTCTGTAGTTTCCTTTTAATAATTTCAATGCATCAGTTGACCATACAAGAATTGTTCTTAAATTTTTTCATTAATGCTTGCTTTCTTTATTAATATACATAGTCTATTGCTTAATGGCTGGATTAAGTCCAGTCTGCACTTAATCAAGTCATTCATGTAGACTACCTTCTCATGTGTCCAGGATAATTGCATTCCTAACATATCATAAGAGAGCCTCCTTCGTCTAAATATTTCTGGAGGTATTATCCATTACTTTTTTTATTTGTTCTTAAATCATGCACCAATTGTACTTTAGATTTATTTATCCTTTTTACTAAATGTTTTGATTTATTATAAAACTTAATGTTTCTACAAATGCTTAAAATGTAATTTGCTGTTTTATGAATATACTCATTTAAACTAAACTGAAACAATATAATTCAAATAACAAAGTTATTTAAGCCTTTTTTTATGATCAATCCACCTAAATTTGTAAAAACCAATAAGCTAAGTTAATTTCCCCATTTTGTCCAAACACAAATCAACCCAGCATTTTTACTGTAAAGTTAATCCTTTAATAGCTTTTCCTTTGAGCTTGTTGCTTTAGCTGGTATTGGTATCTTTCTTGATATTTTTGCTTCTAATAAAACATAAAAATAATATTGTATCTTAGTTTAACTGATTTCTACTAGATCTACATCTAAAAGCTTTTCATATAAAGGGTCAAAAATCAAATATAATTATGAGCCATGGTCCAAGGGTTAATATGTATAAACTAAATTACATTGAAGTTGCCATGGGTAATTTCCTAATTTATTTCATAATATTCAAAAATAAATCAAAAACATTACTTTTAATTGTATTAACTAATGCAGTATAACTTTTAAAACCATAATGTATTGCAATAAAACATAATAGTGAACAGTGGAGTTTAACACCACTCAAGCAGAATCTGCCTTTTTCTAGATTTACTCACCAAAATATATGCCTTGTCCTCTATGTATCAGGTGATAGTATGTACATTTAAACTTAATTTGATCAATTTGCAATATTCAATTTAAACATTTAATTTCAGTTAGCATTTAACAATAAAACAAATAAAAGGTTACATTAGACTTAAAATGACAATCTCTAAAGCTTCTCCATCATTCTTCCTCTCTTCTCAGATAGGTTGGTGGGCCAATTCAAAGATTATCATGGGATAACTTTGGCTTGTGGGCCCTAGTTTGGGAATCTCTGTTTTAGACAATGGCATAGCACAATAACTACTGCAGTTACTATTGATATATTTATTGCACTGGATGATAAAAATCATTTGCTGCACTGTTTATAGACTTATCAAAAGCATTTAATTCTGTGGATCAATTTACTTTGTTGCAAAGGCTAAAATGTATAAGTTTCAGTACAACAGTGTCAAAACGGTTATACAATTATTATTTTTAAATGGTTCCATCATTTATTTACTGGAAGAACTCAATGTGTTTCTATTGATAATTATGTCTCTGCTCCTTTAACAGTAAAAACATCTATATCCTATATCCAATCCTATAGATGAGCTTGGTAAAATCTGAAATGATTTTGGTAAAATCTTGGTTAATCTGCGTAAGTACAAATGTACATTTTTATGCAGATGGCACAATTATTTTCACAATGGCTTCATCAATATAAAAAAATGTCAAAAGATTTTCTTTGCAAAATGCTTTTAACTCAATCCAAATGTTCATTGGTTGCTTAAAATTATTATTGAATGTAAAAAACAAAAACTAAATGCATGATCTTTACACAATCCAGGTTATCAATAAACAACTTCAAGATCTAACTTTAAACTTAAAAAAATAAAAGTATCTGGCTTGATGATAAGCTGGCTCATAGTTTTTATATTGATAGTCTTAGGTCTTTTATTTTAAGCTTTAGTTGGTAAATTACCACAGTATATACCTAGTTTGTTGGTGCGCTGCTTAAATACCTATAATACCAGATCAACAGATATATTCTTACTTAAAAATGCC